TAGGTAGACCCTTACTAGGTTAATGTATAACCGGGGTCCACCTTTGCACCTAGCTCGTGAGATTGTACATACCACGTCGGTTAACGCTATCAACTAGTGGAGAGTAAAGTACTCCTTTCCATGATGCATCCGATATGTCCCGACAAAGTAGATGTGTTACTAGGATACATGTTGCACGGTGTAGTACCTTTCCTTTGCCTTTTGATGTCGCCTAGAAATACTCTTTCCGAGTGTAAATATGACATATACATCTTTGGATATAACTATGTTTGTTAATGTGACTACATGTTTTGTATGATATCTACTAAACGATTTATGGAATGTTATATGTACATGAATGTTTCCTATTATGCGTCGCATGTGATAAGGAAAGGATTTTGATATCAAAACTAACTCGAATGAAATGTAACATGTATAATGAAAAATTATGCCATGAAAGAATCCCATACGAGTAGGAAGAGAAGGAACATCCGACGATAATAGAAATCAATACAAAGCTTTAAACCGTATGATGGAAATGATGCAGCAACAACAAGAAGCAATGCAACAATAACAATAAATCCATACGGAGCAAATGAGACGACTTCCGACTATGCATCAAACGCCTTCGCCTCGGCATAGGAATGACGTAGTAGAGAGGTTTCGTAAAATGAATCCCCATGAGTTTATTGGGAGTGCTAATCCAATAATAGCCGAGGAATGGATTAAGTCTTTGGAGGCAATTATGAGTACTTATAATTTAACAATAATGAGTGAGTGTCGTGTACTATCTTTATGTTGATCAAGGACACCCGTATATGGTGGGAAAGCATGCAATTAATTATAGACGTGCCTACTTTAACATGGAAAGGGTTTAAGGAGATCTTTTATAATAAGTACTTCACCGCAGATGTGAGGGCTAGGAAATTTCAAGAATTTTGAGAATTGAAACAAGACAGGTATGTCCGTAGGTGAGTGTGTGCGAAAGTTTGAATAGGGGTATAGATTTATCCCATTCATTATAGGGGATGAAAATTTGAAAACCAATCAATTCCTAGTATCGTTAAACTTAAGAGTTTGGAGTCTAGCACAAATGTCGACTTGCCCATACCTTTCCATAAATAGTAGATAAGGCAATTTTGGTGGACGAGGATCAAAAATAGATGGTAAAGGAGGTACAGCGGAAGAGGCAAGCATTTAAATCCGGAGCCTCTTCGTTCGGACTCGTGAGGCTAGTCCCATCTAGGAAGTTTAATCAAAGTGGTCAAAGAAATACAAGAGTTGCTAGACCAGCGACCATACGTTTCTAGATCGCTACCGGGTAATCGACCAAGATCGACGACAAGTAACCAACCTCAATGCAATAAGTGTGGGAGGTTCCATATCGAGGAGTGACGATTGAATGTGAGGACTTGCTATGTATGTCACAAGTTAGGGCACATATCGTACAACTACCCCTAGGTGTAGAAACTAGGACCGGGAAGGATACTTGCTTGGGTTTATACGATGACGCATGAGGAAGCTAATCGGAGAGACACGATGGTAATTTATAGTAATTTCTCAATCGTCGACTTGATTACTTATGTTTTGATGGATTCTAGTGCTACATTAAGATTCATATCAAAAACATTAGTGAAACGCTTAGGTGCCAAACCCGAGACATTAGCCGTAGGGTATTTTATAGGTGTCCATTTCGGAGAATTTATGGAGTCGACGAGCATAGTTAAAAAAGTGTCCAAGTACTGATTAAGGATAGAAGTCTAGAGGCCGATCTAATAGTGTTGGATTTCTAAGATTTTGATTTGATCTTAGGGATGGATTGGTCGACAAGGTATGGTGCCACTATAGATTGTCGACATAGAAAGGTAATTTTTGAACTACTTAGGAATCAATAGTTAGAATTTAAGGCTGATTTGAAGTTTTGAGTCGTATCGACGATCTTAGCTTTAAAAGCTCGAAAGATGCTAGGAAAAGGATGTATGGGGTACCTAATGCATGTGGTAAATAGCCAAGTAGAACGAAAGTAAAAACTAGAAGTATAGAGGTAGTGTGGGAGTACCTAGATGTATTTCTAGAAAACTTAATCAAGTTATTGGTAAGGGAGATAGAATTTGAGACACGACCTCGATTTTGAAGACTCCCTACGGAATGGCCCCGACTGATTTGAAAGAATTGAAGGTGTAGTTACAACATTTATTGGATAAGGGATTAATACGCCCTCGCTCCTCACCCTAGGGAGCTCCGAGTATTGTTTATAAAGAAGAAGGATGGTAGTCCGGGGCTATGTATTGACTATCGAGAGTTGAACCGAGTAATAGTAAAAAAAAGTACTCGTTACTCGGATTGATGATTTATTTGATCAATTGCAAGGCGTGATAGTATTCCCCAAAATAGATTTGCAATCGGGGTATCACCGACTAAGGGGAAGGTCAAAAGAAGTAAAAAAAAATAACATTCAAAATAAGATACAGCCCACTATGAGTTCCTAGTCATGCTCGTTTGGGTTGAGTAATGCCCTAATTGCTTTTATAGACCTAATGAATCGAGTCTTTAAGGAGTTTACGGAAAAATTTATCATCGTGTTTATTGATGACATCCTAGTTTATTCTCGAGGTCAAGGAAAGCATAAAAGGCATTTAAGAGCTACTTTGTAGATGCCAAGGGAACAACAATCGTATGCAAAATTCAAGAAGTGTGAGTTTTTGCTAGAACATGTAGCTTTTCTAGGCCACGTAGTAAAGAAGGAAGGCATAATCATAGATCTAAAGAAGATAGAAGCCATTCAAAACTGGCCTCCCTTGAAGAATGTATCGAAGGTATGAAGTTTCTTAGGTTTGGCTGGTTATTATCGAAGATTTGTTGAGGGCTTCTCTAAGATTGCCATGCCTCTAACTAATTTGATGAGAAAGAATGTCAAGTTGCAGTGGATGGATGCTTACGAAGAGAGCTTTCAAGAATTGAAACGAAGGTTAGTCATTGCCCTAGTACTAACCATTCTATCCGATGATGGGAACTTCATAGTATATAGTGATACTTTCAAAAATGGGTTAGGAGTGATGTTGATGAAAAATTTAAAGGTAGTGGCCTATGCTTTATAGCAATTGAAGGAATATGAATGAAGTTACCCCACACATGATCTAGAATTAGCAACAATAGTCTTTGCCTTAAAAATTTAGAGTCGGTATTTATATGGAGCAAAATGTGAGATATACGTGGATCATAAGAGTTTACGATATATTTTCACTCGAAGGAGTTAAACATGAAGCAAATGAGGTGGTTAGAGTTAGTGAAAGACTATGACCGCATAATTAACTACCACCCGAGAAAGGCCAATGTCGTTGTTGATGCTTTAAGTAAAAAATCAATAGTCACGATGCAAGTAATCCAGTTATCGATAGCAAGGGATTTATAGAAGGTCGGGATTAGAGGTAATCCTTATAAGCCACGAGAGCATCATGTTAGCTTTGTTAGTCTAGTCGACCCTACAAGAAATAATTCAACCGGGGCAACAAACGGACAAAAGGCTAAAGGAATGGAAGAAAAGCATAAAGGCTTGGAAGGAGTCTAACCTTGTTATTGATGATAAGGGAGTGATCGGATTTAGGAAAAGATTGTGTGTTCCTTTACTAGCGAGACTTGAAGGAAGAAAAATTGAGGGAGGCACGAGCATCCCCATACTCGATATATGCGGGAAGTACTAAAATGTATCGATATTTGAAACAATGTTATTCGTGGCTAGGAATGAAGAAGGACGTAGTGAGTTATGTGGCGATGTGTCGGACCTATCAACAAGTGAAGGTGGAGCATCAAAGGCCCGCGCGAGCATTAAAACCATTGGCAATTCTAGATTTTAAATGGGAGCATATCACTATGGATTTTGTCATGGCATTGCCGGGATCGGAAAAGGGGTCGATGCCATTTTGGTGATCGTGGATAGGTTGAGGAAATCAACACATTTTCTTCTAGTTAAGACCACTTATAGCCCGAGCTAGTATGCGTAGTTGTATATTGATGAAATTGTGAGGCTACATGGAGCCCTAGTCTCAATCGTGTCGGATCAAGATCCTAGATTCACCTTGACATTCTAGAAGAGTTTACATAGGGCCATGGGGACAAGACCAAATTTCAACACGGCTTATCATCCACAGAGTGGTGGATAATCTAAATGGGTCATTCGGATTCTTGAAGACATGTTATGAGCATACGTTCTAGATTGGTTTGGAAAATAAGAGAAATATGTACGATTAGTCGAGTTTGCATATCACAATAGTTATCAAGCTTCAATTGGGATGGCTCGTATGAAGCTCCGTATGGACGACGGTATAGATCCCCGATATACTCGGGATGAAGTAGGGGAAAGAAAGTTATTAGGCCCCGAGTTGGTGCAACAAATGACTAAGGTGGTAGATAAGATTTGCCAACGGATGAAGATGGCCCAAAGTAAACGGAAAAGCTACACCGATAAGAGGAGAAAGGATCTAGAATTTACGATTAACTATGTTTTCTTAAGGGTTTCATCGATAAAAGGCGTACTATGACTTAGGAAGACAAGAAAATTGAGTCCACGATATATTGGACCATTTAAGATATTTGATCAAATAAGAGATAAGGTATATCGATTATTATTGCTCGCCATCCTTATCGGGAGTGCATAATATGTTTCATGTGTCTATTTTGAAGAAATGTATTGGAGAGCCTAGCTAGATTTTGGAGATAGCACTCGTTGAACCTAACCTCGGACTTAACTTATGAGGAAAGACCAATCTAGATTCTAGATAGGCAAGTCAAACACCTAAGGAATAAAGAAATTACCATAATTAGTGCTCGGCACAGAGTGAGAAAGTAGAGAGAGATGCTCTCCTCCAAATGAGAACTTCCCTTATGTCCGGTTGGTGCTACTCGCTGGGTCTTCTGCTATTTCCACTTCTATTGATGTCTTATATACTTATATTTTAATCAAACAAAGAAAGAGCTCTCGATCATTAGTCGGTTAATTGCTCTCGGTAACCTCTCTTTCTCTTATGGCTAAAAAGAAAAAGAAATCTTGTACAAAGACTTCAAATACAACATTGAAGCGAGATTTTGATGCTCTTGTCATAGCTTTAGAAGCTCCATCGGCACTTGTCTCTCATTTGGCTGATTTGTGTACCCCTTACTTTGCTCGGCCAAAGCCCTAGCCAATGAAATTGGAACATCCAAGTAGTCCTCCCACCAAGTTTCCCTTGCTTCAGCTCTAGCCCAAGATCATGTAGAGGTTGAGGATTGTTCGGATGAGGATGATCACCTTGAGGAAGAAGTGGACTACTCAAATTTAGATGGGGAGCAGATCTCTCGGTCAAAATTCTTTAAGACACCTCCTCATTTATTGATAGGGGATGCCGATGTTTATGTTCGGAATCCTACTTTAAAGGTAACTTCCGAGTCACAAAGAGTCCAATCCTTGTGCTCATTCCGTTCCCTTTTTGGAAAATATGTTCAATTCGAGTTTGGGTGAAGTTGTTGACCCTCAACAAGCTAGATCCAAATCGGATAACACTGTTCACCATAAGTGGAGAGTTGAGGTTGGGTAATAGTCTAAGTGCATAAGGAAATTCCTAAGCTGGTAGGTCCTTGGAAACCTCTTGCTTGATGGAAGTAGCTACCGGCTCTCGACATAACAACATTAATCCAGGTGGCCATGTCCCATATACTTCTAAGGATAAAAGTCTTTCATCTAAATCGACTTTGAATGTGGCAATAGTTGGACCTTCTCTTCAAGCAAATGCTTAATCCCCCATCCCTCCGGACAACAAGGCAAATCCCGGAATGATTGATCAAATTGCTCTATAAGTCGAGTAAATGGAGGGACTTATTTGTTAACGACCAAAGTCTTGAATTTTTCCTAAAACTCACTCATTTTTCGATCATTACGGAGACTAAAAATATGTGCTTTGCTTGAGGAAGACTCTAAATATGATTTGTGGAAACTGTGTTTGGTTGGATATGTTGTAGGAAAATCTCTAGGATTTAGGGCCCTTAGCGCCATTATCGACAACACTTGGAAATGTTAAGCCACATTATCAATACATGACTCGAGTTGGCTAGTCTATAAATTTAATTCAAAGGAGGAAAAATTGGTTGTTTTGAATGGAGGTCCATATATGATTTATGGTAGGCCTTTCATTTTAAGGTCTATGTCGAAATTTTTTGATTTCTTATATGGGGATATGTCGATAGTCCCAAGTGTGGTGAAGTTCCCCAATCTCCCCTCAAATGTTGGTCCGTTGAGTGCTTATAAAAAATTATGAGCTTGCTTGGTAAACCAATCCAATGTGATAGGTTGATGGCCTCAATGGCTAGAATATCGTATGCTAGGGCCTTAATTGAGATGAACATTATGGAAGACTTGCCGGGGATGGTCGGCAATGTTTTGCCAAATAGGTCTAAGATTCTTCAATCCGTGGTTTATGAGACATTTCCAATTCATTGTAAAAATTGCCAAGTCTTGGGTCATTTTACTTCGGGATGTAAAAAAGTCTCCTCCAAGCTCGTTGTGAAAGAAAGGAGAGATGAAGATGTTACGATTCGGGACAACTCGCCAAGTGTTTATGTGTTTAAAAGGCTAGGTCCAGCTACGGTTGCTTCTACGACTACTAACTAGACAAAGCGCTATGATACCATGCACTCTAAGATTGCGGTAGCTTCATACGGATGGGAAATAGTCGGGAGAAAGGCTAAAGGCCGAATCGGATTCACACGGGCGGCCGAGCTTCTTCGATATCTCGCTCCAATGAAGGAACCGAGTCGGGGCAAGGGGAAAGGTAAGGAAATAGGGGCTGAGGTTACTTATGGAAATGTTGAGGGCTAACGTAGGCTAGGCGGCCCATCTGCCGGGGCTATTAGCCTAAGTGGTCAAAATTATATGAAAAGAGTGGACCATAAACTATCTAACCATAATGCTCGGGCTATAGTTGAGGTCAAAAGCTGGGCTAGCACAACTGGAGATAGTAATACAAAGGTGCTACCAGTTGATGCTCAAGCCGATGGTGCTTAGAACAATAGGGGGTCGCGGGTTCATAGGGGCTCCTAAGGGATGACCACTTGGAGTGGGAGAATGAAAACTAAGAGTGGTGGTAAACGGGTGCCTACCACCCTCGCTCTTGGATGTTAATTTATTGCTAGATTGTCGTGGGTCTTAATAGCCCCCGAAGCAACATGCTTCAGTCGACATTATAAAGAAGAAGAAGATGGATATATATGCTTTTATCAAAACAAAACTTATCCCTCTAAAGATTTCTCAAATGCACAAGCTTCGGTTAAGACGATGGAGTTTTATCTCGAATGTCGTAGTAGCTTCATATGCTCGCATTGCACTTTTTGGAATCCCGAAACAGTTTTGATTGATCTACTTGATGTATCTCCACAAGGGCTGAATGTTAGAATCGAATTCTTGTTCAACATTTTAGCTTTAATGCCACTTTTGTGTATTGGTTCTATACTATTATTAACGGGAGAGAGCTTTGGGATGATCTTCGCGAGTGGAATCCCAATTGCCCATGGATTATTTTAAGGGATTTCAACTTTGTCCTCTCATAAAATGACAAGTGTAATAGGGGCGGTCTCCAATTATGAGACCTCGAATTTTAGATCGTGTTGCTTGGATCTTGGCTTGAATGACCTTAACTATTATAGCGACCACTATACATGGAATAGAAGTATAGTCCGGACAAAAATAGATAGAGTTTTGGTTAACCCTCCGGACCACGATTCAGCCTATCATCTTTTGTCCATTTCAGCCCATCGGGAGCTTTCTTTGATCATGCGAGTGGCTTCAATCTAGGTGAACGACCGACTTCCTTTGAGATCGAAATGCTTTAAAAATTTTAACATATGGGCCTCTTATGATAGTTTTCTTTAGATTATTGGCCATCATTGGCAAGAAAATATTCGAGGCTCTCCTATGTTTATTTTATGTAGGAAGTTAAAGCTCTTGAAGAGGCCTCTAAAAGTATTGAATAAGTTACACTTCGAGTCACATTTCGGAGAGTGTGGCTAGAGCGAGAATCGGACACGCAGCTTAACCAAGAAGCTCTTCGGAATGACAGGTATAACTCTCGGCTCCTTGAATATGAGATGCATTTGAAGCTTCGGGTGGTAAATCTCAAATCGGCAAAAAAGATATTTTTTGGCCGAAGCTCAAATATAAGTTCCTAAAGGACTCGTGATAGAGGTACTAGGTTTTTTCATGCTCTTATAGGTCGGAATCATATAAGGAATTATATAGTGGCTATGCGAGTGTAGCAATGGCTAGACCACTACTTCGGTTAATGCCGTGGGGGAGGAATTTGTTCATTTTTATATGAATCTTCTTGGCTCGACTAGGGACACTCTTCCCCTTGATCTAGAGGTTATAACTATGAGGCTTTGTCTTGATCAAAGTGCAAAGGAAATGCTACTCTCCCCTATTTGTAATGAAGATATCAAGAAGGCTTTATTTGATATTGACAATAATAAGGCACCGGGTCCCGATGGATACTCTTTGCTATTCTTCAAAAAGCTCGGGACATTGTTGGATCCGATTTCTATCGTCGCCGTGAGGGATTTTTTCCTCTTTAGGAAACTCTTGAAGCAAATCAATCATTCTATAATAACCTTGGTTCCCAAGTCATCCAATGCTCCTATTCCAGTCGATTTTAGGCCTATCTCTTGTTGTCATGTTGTCTATAAAGTTATTTCCAAGCTTCTCTCCTCCATTATTGCCCGGGCTTTACTTGGTATCATTAGCCCCATACGGAATGCTTTCCTAGGAGGTAGGAAGATGATGGATAATATTCATCCGGTACGGGAACTCTTTGGGCAATATGGCAGGAAATGTGCTTCTCCTAGGTGGCTTGCGAAGGTTCGGTTTACGAAAGCTTTTGATTCCGTCTAGTGGCTTTTCTTGAGAGAGATCCTTCTCCAGTTGGGTTTTTGGGAGTCTTTTGTTCACTTGGTTATGACTTGTGTTGAGTTGGCTCCTTATTCGGTTGTTGTAAATGATAACCACTTTGGGTTCTTTCCGGGTAAGGGAGGCATTAGACTAGGAGACCCTCTATCCCCCTACCTTTTCATAATCTATATGAAGTATTTCTCCCGTATGCTTATGCGAGTAGCTAGTAGGGAGGATTTCATATTTCATCCGAAATGTGGAGCTCAAAGTATCGATCAAATTGCTTTCGCTAATGATGTCCTCCGAGCTTTATCGTGGAGATAGAGATTCGTCACATGCTTGTCCCATCAATTGAGCATATTTGGAAGGACTTTAGGTCTAACCATTAATATTGCTAAGTCATCGATTTATTTCGGGGGAGTCGACAGCGACCAAAAGAATGTTATCCTCTAAGATTCGGGGTTAAAAGAAGGTTCTCTTCCATTCGGATATTTGGGGGTTCCCCCGAGTCCCTACAAACTCCTTGCCGGTCGGTTCTCCCCCTTCTACAAAGACTAGAATTTACAATCCAAAGTTAGATAGGCAAGCATCTCTCTTTTACTAGGAGGTTAGAGGTTCCGAGATCGATTTTGACCGGCATGATTCGGTTTTGGCTCTCTATCTTCCCCATCCCCGCTTCGGTAATCTCTCGAATTTTTAGTCTATGTAGGAACTTCCTTTAGTCCGGTGATGCCGAAAAATATAGTTTTACTTTGGTTGCTTGGAAGCATCTTTGCTGCTCTAAGGATAAAAGGGGCCTCGGTCTATTAGACATAAAAACTAGAAATTCTTCCTCCGTTGCTAAATAGCTTTAGGATATCCATCTAAGGGATGATTCTATTTGGACTCAATGGATCCATCACTACTACTTTCAAGACCACTCGGTGTGGGACACACGGGACCACCGAGATGCTTCACCAATGTGGAAGGCTATTGTTGCTTTAAAGGATCAGCTTTCGAGAGATATAGAGATAATGCAACCGTAATTGGAATGATGGCTAGTTGGGAAGACAACGATGGAAAATTCACCAAGCAATGATTATAATCTGTTTAGACCAAAGGGGAGCGAGTAAATTGGGTTCGTGTAGTCTAGGAGCAAGTGGTCTTTGCCAAGACGTGCTTTCATATTATGGCTAGTTGTCCGAGGGAAACTAAGAACCGAGGATCGCCTCTATTTCATTCTTGAAGATGTTGCATGTCCCTTCTATAGGCAAGAAGAGGAATCCCATAATTATCTTTTCTTTGATTGTAGTTGGACAAGGACTCTATGGTCCAAGATCAAGTTATGGCTAAAAATCCAAAGAGGCATGTTGACTCTTAGAAGTGCCATCGGAGGATTATCATATCATAGGAAAAACCTTGTATCAAGAATAAAAAAAGTCTCTCTTAGCATTCTTGTCTAACTAATATATAGGGAGCACAACAAAAGAATCTTTGAGGCTGCCACAAACTCGGTTGATAGTATTTTCGGGAGATTCTAGGTTCTCTTTTACATGATTTTCTACTACCATGAAAAAGGCCATACTATCTTGGATTTGGCTTAGTCGCTCTACCTTCGGTGGGATTATGCCGACTTCGGTTAGGGGTAATGTTGGTTGGAATTAGACTTTGCTTTTGCTACTTGTTGGGGACTCGCTGCTATGTGCTCTCGGCTTTTTCAAGATGCTCTAGGCTTCATCGGCAACTATTTTTTAGGTTTTTGCTTTTAGGCCTTTATGCATATTTTTTGTTCATATATATATATAAGGTTATCTTTTGTAGGGTTATTCTCCGAATCTATTAATGTCGGATTCTCCGAATATCCTCGTTGGTTCTAGCTACTTTCGCTAGCCTTGTTTTTTTTGGGGAGCATGTTCCCTTTTTCCGTATCTATGTAAACCGAGGCTTGTTGGTCCTAGCATGCCTTTTTTTATCTCTTATATACTTACATTTTGATTAAAAAAAAAATATTGCCATAGTTAAAGTTTTGTGAGAGAATCACAACCTCGAGGAAATGACCTAGGAATGGAAGGAAGAAATGAAAGATAAATACCCAAAGTTATTCTAGTAAGTCAATTTTGAGGATAAAATTTCTTTTAAGGAAAGGAGAAATGTAACCCCTGTGAAAATTCTTAACCACATCGCTATACATATTGGAATAAGTCTACATGTATAGACTAAGAATAAGGGTGATTTATGTGTCATGTTAATGTTTGGTGATGTTAACATGCTTAGTGTTTATGTGAGGATTTATGGGATGAATTTCGCGCAACGTAGCTAGTTACCATTTATTTCCTTTAACATATATTTAGAATGTACCATGAAGTGAGAAAAACAAATTCCTTAAAGGCATGGAGCATGTCAAAATTTGGGGAATTGCCTAAAACAAAATTAAAATGAATGTCGAAATTTTAGGGAGAAAAATGTCACTTCCAAGAAACATCTTCACCTTATAAAATAATATACTCGGAATATCCATAAATATATATATTGGATGTGGGTGTAATTTATGTGATATTTTCTTCAATATTTTGTGGTATTAAAATACCTAATAGTCATGGGAGTGTTTATGGGAATAAACTTTTGGGTATTTAGCTAGACATTTTCTTTTATATTTTGTTGTATTAAAATGCCATGCAAGTGAAAGAATCACCTAAATATGGTGAAATGCCAAATTATTGGAACCAAACTACCTTAGAAATTTAGTTAGTTTGGTTACCTTTTAGTTACCCATTTTTAGTTACTAATTGGACTCCTAACCTTCCACCATGTTCTACATCATGACACCTCACCATTTTGAAAGTCAAACATGCCACCTTGCTTCCATTTTTCTCTCTCACTTTACACTTTGTAACCATAAGATTTAGACACATGTTATTCTAATTCATAAGAGGAAAAAGGAGGGAGTATATAAGTGTGAGAGAGAGTTAAACTTAGCCATTTTTTAGGCAAAACCGTAGCTCACCAAAAAGAAAAGAAAGGAAGAAAACGAAAAAGAAAGAGAAAGAAAGAAAGAAGAAAAGAAAAGGGAAAAAGCTAGGAAATCTTTAGGAAAGATTAAATCAAAGTAACTAGGTTTTATTTTGTGTCCTAAAAGTTGGTTTTTA